CTGGACGCTGATTACTGTTTGCCTTCTTCACATGTGTAAACATTCTTCCCCGATCGACTGTCTTCCTCCTGATATCCACTGCCATTGTAAAACTTCCCAACTGTATGTTACCAACATCAACTATGGTGACTGACGAATTCGAGGCCACGACATCCACCATGCGAATCCAATTTATATTTCGGTGCAAACGTTTAATCCGATTCTTGATGCTCGTAAGTTGCTCCCACATTTTGCTGCGCTGCGGCTTGAAGGAGGTGGCACGCCGAGATAGTGGTTTGATCTCGGACTCGACTTCGCGGCTTGAGCCATCCTTCTTTTCTTCTTCCGGCCCTCCATTCTCCTCAGGAATACGTGCCGATTTGTCTCCGTCTAAAACCTTCAAATCCAGAGTAACCGACAGCTCCGTCAAAACAATACTGAGCCATGTCGGTTGTGCGAAGGTAGGCCGATGAATATTTAGTCCCAGACCTCGAATCTCAAGCTTGATACCATCTTTCGGAGTAAATGCGAGTCTCCTCAGGGAGAAGTAACCGATACGCTGAATAGATATTCCCGTTATAATTCGTAGTATGGCGAAAAGTACAAAGGAGGATAGGTATAGGAGGACTATCACCCCAAAGATAAAGGTGGGATTTAACAATGCCATGGCAGCTTAAGTGTCAGTCGCAAAGCGCCATTCGCATAGTTTCGTGGCCGGCATATAAATAAGCAAAACCCTCAGACTTCCTCCAACAAAGATACTCTTGATATTAGCAAGAAAGGAAATTCCATTCGCGCGTTTTCATTGCTGAGAAACAAATGTAAATGAAGCTCGGGGTGGGGAATTTAGGCAAATTGAGCTCAAATGTGTCTAATTAGAATTTCCAGCTCCCGAGTGTGTCGTCTGAGCAGGCCAACAAATCAACCTTATTGCGTAAGTAACTTATTAAGTAAAGAAAAGAAAGCTACAAAGAATTTTCCAGTATAGATAGAATGGTAAACAGTTACTGGCTGATGAATTTATTTCCCTTAAGCTATTTTGGTAATAGTTCCCAAACTAGTAAAATCGGTATTAGGGAGGTGGTAGTAAGTGCATCCGCTCTGTAGCTTACCAAAGGGTACTTACACACGGTAGATAGTCGTAGGTACTTTATACTCTGTGGAAGACTCTTGACCGTTGACGATTGATTTATATCTTGTTTGTGAATTGTGGATGGATGGATGAATGAATGAATGAATGATCACAAAGCGGGCTGTTTACTCTTCTAGATGAAATCGTATATTCAATTCATATTGCATTGTATTGTATTGTATTGTATTGTATTGTATTGTATTGTATTGTATACGAGCTACCCCCCCCGTACATGTTCTCTGGTGCCTGTGAATTCATGAACATTTCGTCTGCATGCGGCGTATAGCATACCTAGGTACGTTTAGAACGCGTATAGAATGAACTTGGGATGAATCTCTGACATTGTTGGTGGACGAAAAGGGATGAAATAATGTAGACAAGATCCAATTCGGCGATAGATGCCCTTTTCTCCGTATGGGCAATTATGGAGATGGATCAGAGAAGAAGGGAATGCCAATCTCGAAGTAATATGGAGGAATATCCAAATATCAATGTGGGACTGACCCAAATTTATTTATTATTTCCAAAAGAAAGGGTTCCTTTCGGCCACAACTTCACCAGATCCTCCTTGAAATTGGTTCTAGAATTTGTTTTGATTGACTGGGCTCCTGAGTTATGTTTCAATCATTCTAAAGAAACTGGAGCAACTTAAAATGACGAGATTTCAACTCAGCAGGGGAAGTTCAAGACCTCTCCTGTCACTTTGAAGTAGTTGATCAAAGTGCAACGTTGAATGTTATATGTTGGGTAGGTGGTAGGTAACGCATAGTAATAGTAATAAGCATACAACCGCCTAGGTACTCGCAATACGCCTCGGGGTGGACGAGATAGACGAGACACCAAGAACAAACTCCTTTTTCTAAATTCAATAAATAATTAACAAATCAATATTCTACTTTGAAAATGAAGCATATATGTTTGGAAGCCAACAATTGAATGATTTCTCAAGTTAATGAATCTTGTCATACCATTTACATGTATCATGAGTGAATAGAACTTGACACTGACCTGCACCTGCCACATGGTTATATACGAACTACGATACGCACTACACACATTAACATACGAATTGCTATACGAGCTAACAACACAGTTGATCAGTTGATTGTACTACCAGATGTATCTATTAGAGGAGCTTTTTTTATCTTAATAAAGTTTCTTTCCTACAAGAAACCGACAAATGTTCGCTCGAGTTTCGTTATCAATCCTGAGGTCACTTGAGTATTTGACGAAGTAGGTAGAGGTAGGTACGACTCCTTTAAGCTTCCCAGTTCTTTTGTTGATATTGCAATTGCAAACTCCCCCATCATCTATCTCAACCTTTTACTCCCTTCTCAGATCTTCTATTAAACACTGCCACTCAACATATCTATCCATCGCCAGGAACTAGTAAACCACACCGTGCTCTGAAATCTGTTCACTCATTCCTCGTCATCATCTCAAACCTTTTCATTTCTAAGAACAAACCACTACGTGTCCCGAAATCTGTTCACTCAACTCCTTTCTCCATCTCTGACTCACTCCATTCCAATTTCTCGCAATGATAACGTGAAGCTTTCTCTCTCTTTCTCTTTCTCTTTCAATTCCGAAAATTGAATCCTTTAAACTAGATCTTGAATATTCATACACCAGAAATCAAGTCTCAAGTCTCAATCATGAATCGTCGTATCGTTGTATTTTCAGGCGGAAGTGCCGCCAACAGTCTCGTGGATGTCTTTGGGAAAGTTGCCGAAGAAAAGGCCTGTTCTCTGAGTTAGTAAGTGCAAATTCGATTCATGGATATGTGTGTGAGGAAATGAAATTAATGTTTCTTCAGTGTCATTCCGATAAGTGATAATGGAGGCTCTTCCTCTGAACTTATTCGTGTCTTTGGTGGTCCTGGTATCGGTGATGTGAGAAGTATGTTACTATCTCATATATCTCAGTTCAGATGTTTCTCAACGTGCCTTTAAGACAGGCTGGTTCTCTATCAAACTCTTTCCAAGTCTTCATGAAGACTCATGAGGGTGGTTTTGGTCACGTGACACAGCGAGACCCAGTTTGGTTCGAGCCGTCATGCTATCAAGGGGTCGAAGTTATGATACTACCAAGTGGTCAAGTCCATGACAATCATATAATCAAAATATCAAATACACCTCAAACAGAAGATTGACCAATATCTAGGTAGACTAGTCCGACTTATCCCCGAAGATCCCACTGGTACCAATCCCGAGAGATCCGCTCTAAGCACTTTCTTCAACCATCGTCTAGATCCCTCCCCTCAAGAAGCCAAACAGGAATGGCTAGCCATAGTCGAAGGTCACTCTCCTTTATGGAGTGACATCACCTCTGCCAAGCGTGAACTAATTCGTTCCTTTCTCAACACCATAAACCTCGAGATTGTCAAGCGAGCTCGTCCCACCTCTGTCTTTAATTTTCAATCAGCCTCTGTAGGCAACTTGTTCTTGACGGGTGCTCGTATCTTTACAGGTAGTTTAGAGGCAGCGATTTATCTTTTATCAAGTATTACCGGTGTGAAAGATAATGTCGAGGTTATCCCGGCAATCAATAGTAATTTTTCATACCACATCTCTGCAGGATTACAGGACGGTAGGATCCACCCACCCAGCTCTCACTACTCACGTGAAGTATTCATCATAGCCGATTTTTGACATATTTTTAGGTACGATAATTGTCGGACAAAATAACATCTCCCATCCCATAGCCCCAACCTTTGTCCCTACGCAGCCCGTCTCCCCCGCCACCTTTCACAAGCGTCAATCCATCGACCTTTTATACCACGACCGCATCGAAGACGCCAATCTCCCCGGTTCCCTCCCAACCCTTCGCAAACAAAACATCCTTTTTCAAAAATCTCACACCGAGGAGCTCTCCTCCGCAATAGAGCGAATCTGGTACATCAACCCCTACGGCCAAGAAATTCGTCCTACGCCCAATACCAAAGTTCTCTCTGCTCTTCAGGACGCTAGTTGCGTAATTTATAGTATCGGGTCTCTATACACTTCTATTCTCCCTTGCTTGATATTAAGAGACGTAGGACCTGCGATTGCGGATCCGAAAATCAAGTTTAAAGTACTTATTTTGAATGGATGTCTGGATCGCGAGACGCCGGGATATACGGCGAAAGATTTCATCCAAGCGATTGTTCACGGCTGTACTGGGAATGGAAAGGAAGAACATGATCAAGAACACGAAGATCTTGAAAAGGTAAAGGAACAAGAATGGAAAAAATATATCACGCATGTAGTATATCTGGAAGGCCCAGGCACACCGGTGGTAGATAAAGCGGAGCTCAAGAGTTTGGGTATTGAAGCTGTGAGAGTCTATGGACGAAGGTCAGATTCTGGGAAAGAGGGACAGGGCGTAATATTGAAGAATCCTGTAATTGATGCGGTGAAGAGTGAGGATGTGGGGAATGGAACTGAAAACAGGGTGAGAGAGGATATCGTGGGGGCAATAGATAAAGATGATACTTCGGGAATGAGGTATGATGGAGTTGGATTGGGACAAGCGTTGAATGCTATTATGGGAGGCAAACCGGAGAAGTCGAGGAGATATACTTTTATTGGTTGATTGTAAATTGAATTATTAGTGTTTGGTTACAACGGATGGTTGGGAAGTTCTTGTTTGGACGGTTCATTGCGGATAGATTGGAGATGGAGTGAGTCTTATTCCTATACCACGAAATTGTACTTTTAAACCTGGAAATATATATTTACGCTCCCTCATCTACCGAGTAGCAAACTATTAAGTACAGTCACCAGATTTGATTTACGCAACCAAAGTATAAGTATTCCATCAAACAGCCATACCAAATTTTCCCTTTCCCCTCCGTTTTACACCCCAATCCCAAACATATGAGCATCATCGCCCTCATTCCCGCTCCCCATCACTCCCCAGCTTCCGGCCCACTCATCGCCTTCTCATCCTCATCCATCTCCGGGTCCGGAATGCTCATCCCCCAATTATACGTCTCAGGATCCAAGCCCGCCTCCAACATTTTCCAATAATTCTCCTCACCCATCCACATATGACCCAAGCGATCATAATACTTCAACAGTCCCAAATTCCTCGCAACCCCCCCGGGGACATCGATTCTCCGATCGGGGATATTCACACTGGGTCTCTGATCGATCATGGGCGGACCATGGGGATACCGCTCCGGAACCTGCGGCTGCGAGCGCGGATACGTCTCGTGATCGACCTCGGGCAGATCGTCGCCGGTGTAGATAAAATCCTCGTTGTAGACTTTTGCGCTCACATAATCGGGGGTGAGGGTGCGGGGCGTGGGCGGCCAGGCAAATTCTTCCACGTCGTAGAATTCGGAAAAATCTTTCTCCCAGCTGGGTTGGGGGGTGCGGAAGTGAGGGGGGGCGAGCGTGGCGAGGGCGAAGAGAGGATGGATGGGTGGGTATTGGAAGATTTGTGCGTTGGGTTTGTGAGGTTTCTTGGGGCGGTGCAGTTCATTTTCTCCTGGTCCGGGATAGTCGGGATCGTTGTACAAGAGGTCGTTGTCACGAAACCCGTCGTTGATGTAGTGGAAGAGATTTAAGGGACGGGGGCGAAGTTCGGGCTTTTCCTTCATGCATTCTTGGACGATTTTGATTAAACGTTCGCTGTAACTTCTGGGTCCCGGTGCATTTACTCTACTGTCGCCCTCGGAGAGAGAATATCCGTATGTTCTTGGCGCGGTGTTGGTATACTCTCCAAAGTAATCGTCGCACCAATCTGGATCTTCGGGATGGATCGCATGTCTACCAAAGTTTCCTCCGTGCATCAGAAGACGGATGATGTTTGCAAATTGAAATATATTGCTACATGTGCCATGGCGGAATGGATTTACATGCTCTGTTTCGGCAATGAGTTGTTCCTATAGCCAGATTATTAGTATGCTGTGAGGAATACGAAGAAGGATTTCTTCAACTCACGGGAGCCTGGTAGCCCGGTCGACCATTCCTTTGGTTTGGGAAACTATACCTTCCGGCATGTTGTTGTTTAGTAAACTGAGGAACCTGAAGCGCGTCCCCGAAATCGCACAGCTGTGAGGATTGTTATTCATCTTTCCCAGAGGCAAATAGACTAATACATACTTTAAGTACCGGAACACGGTCTTTCTCATAATTCTTATATCCAATCAAAACTGGATTCAATGTCAGAAAAGCCAATTTTCATATCCCACAAGGGGAACCTACTATTGCTCGGCTGAATATCGTAATGGCATATCTCCATTTCCCGTGTTTCCCAAAGGGACCGCCTCTGGCGGGTCGTTCTCGGAATCTCACTGCCACAATCCATCATCAGAATCATCCTCGTAAACTGCCTAAAGATGTTCCATATATCAATCTCTTCGATAAATTCAACATTATTCCTATCGAAGACATCCAAGTCATAATACCGAGTCTCATCCTCGGGCGAAAGACTGATCACAATACCAGGACAATATTCCAAGAATGAGATCGCATTCCGATTGAGTGGTTCACTCTCTTTCGACGGCACTGTTTGGTCATGGAAATGCCTCAGAATATTGTGGGGCCGGTCGGGTATGCAGTCGCGATTGTCATAAGGGTGCCAAGCATAGTATCCAGAGAGAAATTGGAGAAATCGTCCTTCACTAAGGAACCCATCATAATTTTCCGGATAGCCATTGGGTCGACCTCCTATAACAGGCCGTCGCAATTGGATCTTGACAACTACATCTTTAGTGTGGGGAGGATTGTTATCTTCACCTTCCTGGTCTTCGTATTTGAAATGTGCAATAATTGCTCTATTGGTTCTGCGGATTCGTCCCTGGTATTCCCAACGGGGTCCTAGACGCATATCCCAACTTGGCTCGGTCCTCACAAATTCTCGAATTCCGCCTCTCCTTGTAATTGGATCCTCCACGGCAGCCATGATGAGAAGTTTGTGAATTTTGGAATCAGTATGAATTTGTTGGAAGTGATTTGATGCCTTTAATTTGAAGGAAGCCAGTATGAAATGCATTGCTTGAAACAAAGGCTACATCAAATGATTTCTACCTTGAATGAAATCCCGCAACCGGTTGAGATAGTACAAAGCAATCTGCTTGTTGTAAAGAAATGATTACCGGATTTGGCTAAACAAACAAAGGTCTCAAAAACTTACATTGTACAAACCGTAATGTTTGTCTTTTTTTCCAACGAACTACGCTCGAAGGATAGTCAACATGTGGTAGACATATTTTTCAGAGATATAAGATTAAGGCTTGACATCTCTTCCTGGTAACGGTAGTAACATAAGAGCCTTCATAGAGACGGTATATCTTCCAGACATCCTGATATTCAGAGTATGAAGGATGACTGACGATTGTAGTATAGGGTTGAAGAATGAGTTGGAGAATGAGCCGAAGACAGAATCAACCGTCTAAAATTCCGTGAGAGACTAAAGCTCAAGCTTAACTTTGAAACTTTTCAAAATTCAATATTTAGCTCTGCGCAAGATAACGATAGTTCAGTTCATAAAACGATCTTCAATTCTTTGAGATTTGAGCGCACTAGGAACACTTATATCCAGTATCTTTCGGATTTGTAATGAGCTCGTATGTATACACGTCGAAAAACCCGACAGTCGTCGACTCCTCACAATAAGATCATGCCACATCAGGAAACCCCTCTAAAAGGGTAATAATTCATACTGCATTCCCCCCCCCTACTCTTTTGATCTTTTACCCTTAACTTCACGTTACCAAACTCCAATTAGTCTAAAGAATCAATTCTTATCTATATGTTTCAACAATCTCTTTCACCGCACTCGAAATGCACCGTATTATGTTCTGTTTACACGTAGGAGAAGAAGACGCCAAACTTGATCAACCTAATAAATTCCATAATAATTCAATCACAAATAAACTATAAAAATTTGACAGGATTGAATAAATCCTTGGATATTGTTTAATTGATTCTCTAAATTGAAATGAAACAATTGATACATTGAAGAACTTTGCCAGTGGTCAATTCCGGTCTGTTATTTCGCTTACATAGAGCACGCTCCACCATCCCACAGCTGTCAAAGCAACCAAGTGGATACATGTCAATTTGAAACATATACTGAATCTACAGCGCCAATACTATCAGAACAGTAACTGATAACGCCCGTTTGGCTTAGCGGTAAAGCGCATCACTAGTACTCGTACATGATGAGATCCTAGGTTCGATTCCTAGAACGGGCAATTAATCATTAAATGATTCCTATGCTTTTGCTCTCGGGTGTGTAGAGGGAGGGAGGAGTAAGAACGAGCTGATAAAGAAATTTATTTTTATGTTAAGAGAGTTATTGTGGGGCTATCTTTTGCGGGTTCTTGTGGGGTTTGTTCTCTATATTTTTCAAAATGCTATCTGTCTATCCATCAATTATATATACCTACCTAACTAAGTATACATACATACATACATACATACATACATACACATATATAAACACTGATAGTAATGATTTTTACTTCCAAGGTAACTCGGTAGATAAATAAGCTACTTACACACTGAGATGTATATAATAACAAGAACATCTTCAAACCTTCCAACTCGTCACTTTATCCTTAACTTCTATTTCATTCCCTTCTTTCCTACTATTTCAATAGAAGTATCAACAAAGAAAGTTTTATCAGATCAGGGAAGCTCGATAGAAAGAAGCTCGTGGGCGATATCTTGTAAAGCTCAGATAACTCTAATGTAAATATCATCTCCCTAACTTCTACCCTCCTCGCATACATCAATCCTTATACTGTTCCTACAAAAAATTAGATAGATAATCAACCCACTTCATCTTCAAATACCAAAAGTTTTCAATTACACGATCCCCCAACCTCCAGAAACTCTCCATATCAACAGCGATTACCTACCTACCTACCTCATACATCTACAAACCCCAACCCCATATCCACTCATCAAAATCCCACTACTTATAAACATCCCACCACCTAATTCCTCACCATCCAAAACATATTTCACCCCCCATATTCCCTCCAAACCACAGATATAGATAGACAAACGAGTCGATTTCTCCATCCAAGCCGTATTCACACCTTTACATTTCTTTACCAATCTTCCTCTGTACTCAATCAGGACATTAACACATCAACATCCACCCATCCAGTCCCTGAATAATATTCATCTTCGAGAATATAGATATTAGCAAAAAAATACCTGTAACTTATTTTAAGACGCGAACGGGTTAATTAATGGCATCTCGATAGATATATATATTTCCGCACATGAAGAGGTGGGGTAATAAATGAACGTTCTCGCTTGATGATAAGGGGGTGGATATCTCTATATCTATCTATCTATCTATCTATCGTTCGATCTTTAGCTATGTAGGTACGTGGAACGAGAAGGGGGTAGAGAGTCAGAATGTTATTAACATTTCATAGCTAGGAATGAAGTATCGGGCGATGAGAAGGTATTAGTTATAGTCTTTTCTTTATCGTCTTTGTTTATTGTATTTTAGAAGGAATTAGAGTATATGTAGTATAACAATCAGGAAGTTTATTCGAGGAATGATGAAAATGATATTCGTTAAAGTGATGGTTTTCTACGCCAATACTTACATCATGCTTTACAGAATAGAGAGAAGAGTGCTACAGAGAATCCGCAAGGTACGCATGTATACGTTGCTCTCAAGAACCTGAAACCATTCACACTTACACACAAAATAAAGATTGATTCCCCTCGCCTATACACGTGGAAATATGAGAAGACCGACAATGAACATACAGAAAAAAGAACAACTTGTAAGTTGCTTCTGAATATAATAAATTGATACAACCATCCGGGATCGGATCATAAGGCGCATGACTATCGATTAGAAACAGTCATAAACATGTTGTCACGTACACAAACACTGAATCAAGCTCACCGAAAATGCGAAGACGTTTCACCATGTTGTCGTTAAAGATAATCGATATATCATTCACATATAGGGCAACTAGCCCCTCATCATCTCCTCTGTTTCCGACCAAGCCATCTTCCGTTCCTCCCTGATTTCCATCAAGAATTATGAATCACAGACGCAGAAAATGAATTTCTGTCTCACCCCGCAAACCCAGGTCATTCCCCTATAAAATGCTGACCGCATCTCCGCTCGACATTAGTGAATACCGTGGCGCAGTCCGCTCATCTGCTTTCCACCCCTCCAAGAATACTGATTCACGAGCCACCGTATCTATACCCGTACTCATACCTCGGTCTCTATAAGAAGGACTTCAGATGGCTTAAAGTCCCCGCAACCTCAACTTACTTACACCATTAAAACGCCAAACAACTTTAACCCTCAAGCAAGTTGCTTTCAATAATACTTCGTAATATCAACAAACAATAAACTGACTTACCTTTCTTTCCTTTATCTTTATATTTTTCTTCCTCCCACATATCATATATTTGATATCTCATATCTAACACCACGTTTTTGTGACACCAAATCATGACTCACGGTTCAGACACCATGTCACTCCCTGACAACATCTTCTGCTGCAACTGTTGCACAGAAGTCGATACTCGACACTCCGACAAACCTTATCATGATCCCAACAAGCACTTTCACAAAACTATCTACCAATCATTCCTCAATTTTGCAGCCCGATTATCGGCAACCAGAGATCATCTTGAAATGGTCCGAGCTCATGAAGATGCTGAACGTCAACGCCAGGCTGCTCAAATCTGTGCAGCAGTCATCCCAGACCAAGAGGAATCGGAGTTCATCTCGATGACGCTGTCGGAGATGATTCGAAGCTATAATCCTGATCAAAAAACGGCCAATCTAGCCCCACCTGCTTCATTAGTTTCCACCAAATCTCCTACCCCTCCATTAGCATTGAATAGTGCATTCAGGTTACCCTCTTCTCCTCCAATCTCTCCTTGCATCACACCGGCCAGACCAATCTTAGCCCAGAATCGCACAGATTTCCGCTCTTCATCGAATAGCAATGCGGTATTCGAAACACATCTGATGACGCCACCACCTTCACAACCATCTTCAAAGCCTAACTCTAAGATGCCATCTCTTTCTTCAGGTATTGGGCAATCTTTCGTGGAATTGCTCAGAAACAAACCTAATGCTCTCCCATCATCGGGCATCCCCAATCTCGGATCAAGCATCATTGACTCAAAAATCCCCGAGTGGAGATCCCGTGCGACAATGCAAGCTATGCAACCCCTTATACAATCTCCCACTCCTTTTCCAACATCCCGTCTTGGAACATCTCCAAATTCTCCTTGGGCATCTGATCCAACACTCCCTCCAGATCGTGATGGGACGTATGGGTCATTCCAGTCTTCGACAGCCACTGAGATGTCGGTACCGCATCAACCCCTGGCTCTCACCAGAAATGTAGGACCAACTCAGTATTCAACTCCTTTCAAACCCTTCGCCGATATTTCCTTCGATGATTTCAGAACTGTCCACGTACCATATTGGACACAAACAGAACCAGAACCTTTTGTTCCTCAACGAGTTCTTTCTCCATCCAACTTAATTAACAATCCACTCGTTACCAACCCCCCCCCAACATATGTGATTCATATCACTTCTCGTCAAGACTATGGCAAAACTGAATCTCATCGATATTTTGTCTGTCCCACAGATCTAACATCTGACTGGCCGGAAGTCAGTCTACTCCAATGGTTTGCAGCTGGAGTTGGTTATGGCGTCAAAGCCGAGAAATGGGACCATAAATGTTTGCAACATCAAAGATTCTTCCGAATGGTCTTGAGACCCAATTTAGCGATGCGAGAATGGGGTTTGGGTAGACCATTAGAGGAGTTGCAAGCCGAATTAGCAAAGTTGAATGCAGCTGCGGCATCTGGAGGTGTATAGATTTGAGCCATGGTTGTTGTTTGCGTATATGATTTTTGGGATTCTTGGCTACTAGCCAATGCCGT